TACAGAAATATGTTTTAAAAAATTAAAACTGCAGAAAAGATAGAAAAACAAATTTCCTTCTTCTAGTCCCCAACATGCATAACCAATACTAATGATTTATCACTTTTAAAATACAGCTAAACACTACACTCCATACTTCACCTTATTTCCTACCTCTAAATATTTCTCTCCACATTAATCAGCTAAAGTCCAATAAGAGCTATCTGAAATAATAACATAGGTATTATATACTATATTTATTATAGGTAATCCTCCATCTATGACAGCAATTGGTACCAAAATTGTCATCTTTAAGCGATGTGGTCACAAGGCATTACTGCATCTTTTAGAAACAACAGTCCTGATTGCCATTGTTAACTGAATCTGATGGTCCTGAACCAAAATAGTGGAGAATCCAGCAGGAAGTTGTGAGTCACAGGCAACTCATGAGTAGGTATGCCACCCAGTGTACCCTCAGTGTGGTGCCATTTGTGCATCTTTATCCTCTCTGAATATTTTTTTCTTGCATATCCCTACACACACACACACCCCACACCGTGTAGTGCCGCACACACTCTTGCATATTCTCAGTAAATCAGCCATCTTGTGCACCCTGACTCACATGGTGTCTCTCACACTCACCCACACATCTTCCCAATCCCACATATTTCCCATACACCCCACCCTGACCCTTCCCTACTCCCCCACTCATTTTGCCCATAACATGCGAGGCAGTTCACTGGAGAAAGCAGTTATGTGTGGAAGAGTTAGCAGTAAAAGAAAGCCAGGCCACCAAAGAATATGGTGGCTGATCACCAAAACTGATATCAGCCAGAGCATACATCAACTCAAAAAAAGGGCAAGATTGGAAGATGTGAAGACCCCTGGCCCATAGAATCACCAACAGTCAGACACAACTGAATGGATAACATCATCACTATCAACCAGAAATGAGGGTGGAAAAAGCAGATTGTAACAAGATACCCTCGTTACCCTTGCAAACGAAGAAAAGATATAGCTACAGTGGGGATAGAAGATTGAATGAATCTCTGCCTGCAAATTCCTGCTCTAGTGGAAGAAATAGTGGAATAAACATAGTAAAGCTTTGTCTTGAACAGCTGCATCAGGGAGATGTAGCTCCTTCTTAAGCGGGGTTGGACTAGAAGGCCTCCAAGAGCCCTTCCAACTCTATTATTCTATTCTATTGCCTGGGGAGGCAGCACTTGTTAGATGACTGCCTATTTGCATTCCTCTTAGAACCAGGATTAAGTGGGAAGAACAAACAACAGTAAACACTGTAGTGAGCCTTGGAAAGGAACAAGGACATTCACTTGTAAAAACACAATAAAGGCAACATCTTCATAAAATTGCACAGCTCTCAATGTAGGATACATAAAGTGACCATTTTCTTGGAAGTGACTTCCAATGAGACCCTGCAATAAACATAAATTTAATGGGGGAAAATCAGTTATTGATGTCATGGAATTAATACATGGGACCCAAAGAAAAATAATCAAAAGTCACTACAGTAATTATTGTCAATAATGCGCAACGGAGAAATTCCTTCCAGAAAATAGTGGCACATCCAAAAGGCAAAAGGATGCACTCATGTTTATAAATTTCAGAAGGGATGAGAAAATGATAGACATACATATGCACAATAGATATAACCATAAATATTCATAATTCACAAACTTCAAGTTAATTCTTCATTCTGTTGTTACTTTCTTCAATAAATATTGTCTTAATGAAAAAAACATATCAGTTATGGTGCCATAGAAATGTTGATGAGATTTATTGAGAACCAGCTTTCTGTTTCATTTTGCTAACAAGACCAACTCTCATAAGAATTTGTTTTCCTCACAATGTGCAATAGCACTGACAACCTTCAGATCACAAAACCTTATGGCCATTTTGCTGTAGCATCCTCATGGTTATGTGATCAACGTTCAGATGCTTGGCAAAGACTCATATTTATGACAGTTGCAGTATTTTGGGGGGTCATATGATCCCCTATTGCAACCTTCTGACAAGCAAAGTCAATGGGAAGCCAGATTCACTTAACAACAGAGTTCACTTAACAACTGTGGAAAAAATAGTCATAAAATGGGGTAAAATCACTTAACAAATGCCTCAATCAACAACTAAGATCTTGGGTTCAATTGCGGTCATAAATTGAAGATAATCTGTATTCATAAGTAAAACAGCAGGTGCCCATTGTTTTCATTTTCACTGGTAAATTCATCTTTCTGGGGCTGTGAGGATCAGACTCAAAAATTCCTTCCTTTCCTAGTTTAGCATGTAAATAGAAAATGCATAGATATTCCTCTATTTATGGTTATCTTCCATGCTGTTCTAAAGTCTGTTTATAAATCCAAACAAACATTAAAAAACAACATGTACATTCCAGTTCTTACCTTACATAAGCAGTAGGATTGTGGTTAAACATTACAACAATATAAGCTCATCCTTCAGAGTTGAAATGGCACATTTCTCCACCTTCTTGAAGAAATGGTCCAGTGAATTTTTGGTGATAGCCTTCATCCTTTCTATTTTCCTCATAGATACTATAGCACATTATTGCACCATTGGATAGCTACAGACACCTTGATGAAATGCTCAAAACAGTCCTGCATTTCAAACAATGACAGTGTTTTCTTGATCAAGCTGAATGCCTCTGCCATCAACTTGGTCTGGAATCTCCAAAGGTTTAATCATTTTCTCTTGCTTTCACTGATTTTACAACTCCATGAGGCCACTGTTGAAGAGTTCTTCCATATGCGTAGCTAACAATTCATTAAAGACCACCTCCAGGTCAAGATGAAGCTCCTGGGTGAAAGCAGTCAAGTTGCTGACAATGTGTGTGACTTCCTGTCCACCACTTCAAACCTTTGAAAGTCATGAACAAACCGAAGGCAAAGACATTTCCACATCCCATTCATATTCACAGACATGGCAAGGCTGCATCAATATTCTCGATAACCTTGTAGATGTCATAGGACATCCAAAACTGGCACACGTTGAACACGCAGAAAATATTATTTTTGAAAGTTACTATAACCCACAATCCACAGTGGTAGGAAAAAATTGACATTTGGAGGCAGAGAGCCAACCTTCATGTTCAGATGGAAGTTGTCCAAGTGAGGTTGATGAGCCAAGACATTATCCAAAATGAGAATCTTGAAGGCAATGTTTTTCTCATGGCAATCATCTCTATATTTTTAGGATGGAATGATGGAAAAACAACTCTTCCAAGATGAGGATGACCGAAGGTTTCTTTTTAGCTTCCCACACAACAAAGTGAGGTTTTCTTGAGACTTCACAGGTTCTCAACATGATAGACTAGCAGCAATTTTAGATCACCAGCAGTGTTGCTCAATTGGCATCTTTTGCAGCTTTGCATCATCTCCTTTGCTGATATAGCAATAGCACTTATATACAGCTTCACAGTGCTTTACAGCCCTCTCTAAGCGGTTTACAGGGTCAGCATATTGCCCCCAACAATTTGGGTCCCCATTTTACTCACCTCGGAAGGATGGAAGGCTGAGTCAACCTTGAGCCTGATGGGATTTGAACTGCCAAACTGCAGGTAGCCTGCAGTACTACACTAACTACTGCGCAGTATAAGTTTTGCCTGGCACTTTTTTTTCTAATAAAAGCCCCATTTCATCCACACTGAACATTTGCTGAGGCAAATAACAGTTTTCCTCAATATCATTGAAGGTTTTGTGGAATTCCTTGGCTGCATTCTCATCCACACTTGCCATCTCACCACTCACTTTCACATTATGCATAAGCCTTAAAATGTGTTTCTTGCAACAAACCTGTTTTCAGTAAAAAGGTGAGCCGAGGTGGCGTAGTGGTTAGGGTGCAGTACTGCAGGCCACTTCAGCTGACTGTTATCTGCA